TATGATATTGGTTGTATTTGATTAAATAAGCTTATTTTATGAATCCAGAAAACATTTTAGTAGTCTCTTTCTTTACCTTGGTTGTCTAATTAATTAAAAACTTACGTTTTCTATTTTATTACTAAGTAACTATTTCTAATAATAATAGTAAGCATGTTATTACTACTAGTTGGACTGGCGAAAGTTTAATGGAAGAATGATTAAATACATACTTTTCTGGATGTTCTGGAAACTTCTTAATCACGTCTGCGTGTTGCAATGTTTCCAAGTGTTTACATTTAGCGTTTTGTGACTGCTTTTCCGTAACATTATTATTAGTAGTAGTAACTGTTGACAACTCGACTTGTAACTAGTTAAATGGTAGTAAACATTTACGATTTTTGATTAATTCTTGACGAATATTTTGAAATGAAGATAAATAAACGTGAATCAAACTAGTTATGTATGAACGAATTACACTCAAATTTTGTTTTATGCACAATTTATTACTGTAATAAATATAATTTTCTTAGAATAGACTGAGCTATAAGATGATATACCTACAGTTCATTAGTAAATTTACTGTTTGAAACATTAGTCTTATGATCAGATGGTTAAAAATAAAAACTTATAAATCATTTTCATGAAGGTATAGAACCTACACAACTTTATATTTTGTTTATTCCAACATTAACTACATGATTTATCCCTTTTCTTCAGTCTTTACTTTAAATGGATATGATCATATTGGAATTTTTTGACTGAGTTCATGAACCGATTTATTTTGGACCACTTTTGGAAACCTGAAAGAACTAATGACCGTTTCGTTCAACTGTGGGACTCGTCAGCTGTACGCGTCCACGATCCAGCTCGCGGGACTCGAACCCAGGGCCTTCAGCCTTAACGCTTAACCTACTGGACCACTGGGCCGGCTTCCGATGGTATTAGTGGGTTCGAATCCCGCGAGCTGGATCGTGGATGCACACTGCTGAGGAGTCACACAATAGGGCAAAACAGCCGTCCAGTGTTTCTAGGTTTTCAAAGGTGGTCTAACATCAATCGGTTCATGATCTCAATCAAGAACTTAATAATCTCCACAACCCCTATACTCATATTTGAATTTATTTAGTAACTTTATGTAAAGATAAGTTTCAAATGAAAAATAATCACTATCCCAACAAATTTCACTTAAATAATATTTCTCATCATCAGCTTTTGGTACATAAATTTCTCTGATATTAAAACTAAGAAAACTTTTTAGTATTGTCGAATCTCACCGTTTTTAGCCTAGGTATGGGTTTCACGCTTTTTGTAGAAACCCTTGAGTAAATAGACAGTTAATTTATTAGAAGAAATGTGAAATAAGAATGTGTATTACAATTTTTTGTAGATGGTTGGTGGACGACCTAGACGTTTTGTAGATCTACAACTACATCAGTTCCAAAAGTTCTCAGAGATATATTGAAACGGAAAGCATATACGGTATATAAAAAAAACCCATTTTCTAGTGAAAACAACACCAATTTCAAATAAAGCCATAACGAACATTGATGCAGAATAATATGGATTCATTATGTTTTCGTGGTTTCTCATCAGCTCCCTACAACCAAATATGTATTAGAATTTTACATTGAAGTAAAATACAGTGTGGAACAATTGATATAAGTGAATGTGAATAATTGGAATGACAAAGGTTATCAATAATAACAATATATATATGTGTGTGCAAGAACAGGTCAGAGGTTATTTGTTGTTAGAATCAAAAAACATTAGGGATGGGTGATGTAATCATTGAGTGAAATTCGGAGACAGATAAGATAAATCATATGATGAATTATGGAACTAAAAACGTCATGTTCTCTTTTCTCAGTAGCTCCAACCGCACCAAATTACATGTACGAGCCAAAGCACATACATTGGAAGGACCGAGAGAAGATTACATGTTCGCATTTCCGAGCATGTTCCAAGGAAATCAAGACTACGAGGGACTAAGGTTCTTGACAGTGCAATAGCTAGGCATTTATTTTACACCAGGCACACCAGTGAAATTCCTCATGCTTTTAAAATTACTAACAAAGAAATACTTCTCTCCGTTTCGTTCAAGCGATCGTGACAAAAAAATCAAACCTGATCTATGTATTCAAAATGAGACAGTAATTAACCTATTACTACCCTGATAATTCAATTTTTCGATCATTAGTTATATTTTGTTAATGTTTTGATTTGTTATATTTCTCTTCGATTACCAAATTCTTTAACCACCTTTCACTTATACATTTTCATTCGCTCGATTCTCTTAAATTATGTAAACTTTTCAAATCCTAATCAATTCTTACGTAATCCATCTAATCAGTTTTTTTCAATTCCATGAATCTTAAGTAAACCCTTCATTATCTCTAAAAATTATCACATAATTTATCTTATCTGTCTCCGAATTTCACTCAATGATTACATCACCCATCCCTAATGTTTTTTGATTCTAACAACAAATAACCTCTGACCTGTTCTTGCACACACATATATATATTGTTATTATTGATAACCTTTGTCATTCCAATTATTGACAGATAATTCCCATTTAAACATTAAAATTAAAACACGAATTTCAGCGAAGGGATCTCTTTTCAACGAATTTATTATCAAGCTGTACAATCGTATATATATGAAAAATTTTTTGATTTTGTAAAAGTACTAATTCCGTGAGGAAATGTGAACACAGTTAATAAAAAGGTTATAATACTAGATTACGTAATATGAATAAAAATAATAACAATAGATTTAGTGATTATAATAAGATGATTAAAATGATTAAAATGTTTTTGTTATAATAATAATTAAAGGTCATAGAGGTGTAAAAATAAATAAATATGGTGATATGACGAGTATTCACTAATAAAACAATCAGAATATAAGATATAAGTAAAGGGGAGAATGCAGGAATAATAATAATAATAATAATAATAATAATAATAATAATAATAATAATAATAATAATAGGGCAATCAAAATACTTAAGACCAAGGTAACGATAACGATAAGACGTACTTCTTTTGTACGCATAGTTCTGGTTTAAGCTCCTGGATGGTAAGAGCTTCGGCTATTTTTAAAAGTTGGATGCGAAGAAATCTGGGTAGATTTGAACGAATCATATAAACAACCTTAAAGTCAATTTGTGGATCTGTTGAATGGTTATAGTCGATTAGGTGTTCAAGTATAGAACTCGTAACTGCTTTCCTTTCCCCCTTAGTATTATAACCTTTTTATTAACTGTGTTCACATTTCCTCACGGAATTAGTACTTTTACAAAATCAAAAAATTTTTCATATATATACGATTGTACAGCTTGATAATAAATTCGTTGAAAAGAGATCCCTTCGCTGAAATTCGTGTTTTAATTCCAATTACTCACATTCACTTATATCAATTGTTCCACACTGTATTTTACTTCAATGTAAAATTCTAATACATATTTGGTTGTAGGGAGCTGATGAGAAACCATGAAAACATAATGAATCCATATTATTCTGCATCAATATTCGTTCTGGCTTTATTTAAATTCATAAAGCGAACTAATTGCATGAAACACCAACTTCCTTGCTTTAAAGTAACTTTTAACTGAATGTTATTTTGAGACAATAATTATTAAGCCAAAAGACTGTTTATTATTAAAAATACCATTAAATTATTATCAGACAATCGTTTGATATATTCTTGTTAAGTCTACAAGATAATTAATTAAATAATGAATACTCATGTTTTATTGGTTTCTTAATGTCTAGTCCCAATAGTTGTAAAATGAAAAGAATGTGAATGTACGTAGAAAATACACAAACATTAAATAAACAATAAACAGTAATTTTTTGAACTAAACTACTATTTCTCTTTGGAACATTTTTATTGCAGATTAATTTTTATGGAGTTGAAAAACAGTGAGGTAAATGTCTGTTTATTATACATTTTGATTTGTATTATAAACATGATCTGAATACTTTTACTTAATACTCTATCCTGGTTTTGCGCTTATTGACGACGGTTATTCAACCATTATTTCGTAGTGGATTGTAAAGGTTAAAAATTGTACATACTTAATTTTTAGTAGTCATCCATAAACAGTTACATACCAGCTGTTGACTTCTGATGTTTCTGTAGCTCAACGGAGAGATAATCAATCGGTATGATCCTATGTTTATTTACACATCACTTCGTTTCTTAATTTTTAGCTGATTGGTTCTCTTTTGATCAACCATTAAATATGTCTAATTTGGTTATCTAATTCAGCCTTAGTGGCTGAATGAATATTATATTATTTTGAAACATTTACTGAGAACTATTGGGATTAATAACACTAACTATCGCAATAGAAATAATTTACGCTATCCCCAAAATATATTTTGCAATTACTATTTACAATGGATTTCAGGCATTAAAAAAATACACCAATCTTTTTTCGGTTATCAGATGTTAAAGATCCAGGAAACAGTCAAGACTCTGTCTAAAGCATTATGTGATCGACTTCCATGATGTGTAAAAAATATTATGTAGTGTCACATTTATTTGACCCTCCTACAAAGCTTCTAATATGACCTTCAGTATTTTTTCATCACTCATTTTTGCTTACGCCGAAACTCGATACTTTTGTGGTTCAACTGCCTTATCAATTTAACATCTACATTATTCTTAACACTTCAGTAGCGAAAAAATGATTCCAGATACCTGGTTGCTAATAACTTCAAAGTTAGTTCTCATCACGAACTGAAATATCTTGAAAAGTCATCAGTAATAAAAGACTACCGATTATTTGTTTCGTACTAATTCCTAACTCTTTATCATTATGCACATAAAATGCCACATGGAATGAGCCAAAGACCTTCATGTCTCACGATGACCACAATTTCTTTAAATCTGTGATTTAAAATTTAATGTTCTCCATTTGTAGAACTTGAGTGATGAAGACTTAATTTTTTTGTTCCTTAGGGAGTTACGCAGTAAAGTAAATGAGATCAAAAACCTGTCATCTATACAAAATTACAATATGTATTTTTTTTTACTTAAATGATATTTTTTGAACATACTTAGCAACAAATAAATCTTAAACACAATCAGTTTTATACAAATAATCATTTCTTAAAATAGAATCTGATAAAAACAAATTATCATTTGGTTGAATATTCAATGATTCCATTTTCTCGTTATCTGCTTCAATTACATATATGCTATTTTTACTGAACTGATAATCATTTAAATTTTGTTCATTTATTAGCTTATCCTGATTTGGTATAGTTAAACTACATTGACTATTGTTGTTATTATCATTATGAAGATTATACTGATGAATAACAGGTTCAGTAAACTGTAAATGAGTATTCTCGATCTTATTATGGTCAGTATTGTAAAAGAGATCATAATCTTGAGAGTCGATTTGTTTAATTTCACTATGATTAATTGCATTATCATTACTCAGTACTTCAGGATTTGGTATGTAGAATTTTTTGTCTTCACGTTTTAATGGACAAGAATCAAGTGTACACAAATAAGCTGACTGACATCTGAAATAAAGATGAAAAAAGATTTGTTAATTCCACCTATTCAATCAAAATAAAAACAGTATGCACATAAATATCATCTACCTAGGCGACAAGGTATTCAAACCACTAAAAAGAAACTTTCGGTTTTCGCCTATGCCTTAAGTACTGAATACATGTAGCTTTTTTGATGGAGTTTTGTTCTCTGAACTGGATGGTTTGGTCGTGGAGCTTTCATCGTAAATCTGAACGACGTCATCAGCACAAACTTCAGATAGAAGTGAAGTGTTCGAATTTCTCCATGTGCTTTTCACAGCTTGTTCTGTACACCTCGATGTTGATTGCTTCTTGTTGATCTTAAATTTGTCATTGTTTACTTCTTTTTTTTATTGTGTCTCCCAGTGTTTTGATTTTTGTTCCTATATTTGTGCATAATCATTAGTCTAAGATCACTTGATGAACAGTTAGAATGGAGGAAGAACAGGTGGATTTTCTCCCTCGTTTATAATTATGACAAATTCTTCATTATTGGGTTTTATTAGATGTTCTCAACTCAATATAATCTATTAAACCAAAAGTTCTTACAGCAAAAAAATTTTAATTCAATTTAAAAGGCTAATATTTACTTAATAAAATTTTTTTTTAAAAAAAAAGAACAATTGAAGATTTGAACGTAAAACGTTTGTTGGTGTATCTTAGGGAAATTAGAAAGTGTATAATGAAGCTCATACTCTATTATTTCGAGTCAATTATTAGTAAATGCTGTAATTTAAAGTAAAACATTTAAGCTTATTGTGGACAATTGTTTTTAGTATTTTTTAAAATTTATTTATCCAATAAGCAGAATACACTTCAAGAAACAAAAGACTGTTGACTTGAAATATGGCGCCATTCATTTCAAAATGCCATTAAATCATTTTTTTTTAGAGAAAAAAGATACATTTCTGTCTCATAAACAGTATGTGCCTAACTCCTTACAGCTTTATGTATATTCGTTTTCTCGTGTGCAATCTCTACTTTTTTTTTCTTCAAAGATCATATAGTTTTAAAATATGAAAGAGAATAATACAGTTAAACAGTTCAATAACTTTTAGACATAATAAGTCACGAGTTTAATTGTTTAGTATGTGATTCTTTTTTTTTCTATCTAAAGAATACCAAATGATAATAAGCAATGTTAATGAATGATTATTATTTTTCTTTTAAAAAGTAGGATTTCAAGAGCTCTTTAGTATGTTCTATTGTAAGAGCAAGTGAAATATGGTAGAAAATAAGTTTTCTTTTTTCAAAATAACAGTAAACGTTCTTTGAATAGACTTGTTAATTTCTTTATTATAATAAGACAAATGAAGTGCCATTAAAATTATATTAATAATATCTCAATTAACTTATTCACATATTTCAATGGTCAATAAGTTCCATAGAATGGATTGTTTGACTTTATTTCACTGTTGTTTCATGATTGTGAAATTATCAAGTGAATAAATAGATTGCGAAACTAATATCTGTTACATAATAACCCATTTTAGATTGTTTAGAAAAATGTTTGTTAAGCTTATTCGTATAACCATATGCGGTGACCTTGATCTTTTAGATCTTTATCATTTCATGTTGCCTGATAGGTGTGGACAGACGATGTTCTGTTTCTACATAAATATTTTCTTCTAAAATGCTATAGTGTAACTGACCAAAATATGTAGAAACTTACCTTTATATCAATCACTTAAAGAAGCCTACGCATGAGTTCGATGCTTACACAATGACAACATGGACATAAAAATTTTAATTAGTAAAACAATGACTGACTGAAATTTACTAGTTTCTTGTCATCGTATTATTGAATTCCTTTCTAATTACTTTTATGCATCATTCATATTTTACTTTGAAGTGAGATGAATTCTACTTTAGGAATGGGAGGTAAAGTCAAACTCGCACGCCTACTTCATGTCTTCTGGACGATTGCACTCAGTCCCATAAGCTGACAGAAGTGGCGGAGCTTGTGGTAGAGATTGGGCTAATCATCCACCGAACAGAAATTCCCAAACGATTGGGACTTATATAAAGAAACACAGAATAACTATAACGGGTGGTGCTGGTTATTAGACTAGAGAACAGATGAAGTCTCCCTGTGTCTACAAAAAGACAATAAAAAGCACGGAACTAATAGGACAAAACGTGGTCTATGGAATGTTTGGAGATGTGCACAAGAAGGTAAATTCCATCAGATATTTAGTCAGCTAAGTGAACATAGCTATCACATAACAGTACTGACAGAAACTAGATTACCATCTAAAATATTAAACTTAGACAGAAGAAACACCTGCTAAAATAATAATCTAAACGTAAACAACTATCTTAATACTGGTGTAGACTTCTTCATCAACAACCAAAAAGAACTGACAGAGACCAACTATGCAGAAAAAGATGTGCAAATAGCGAACATCCGCATGTACAACAAAACAACCAGACAAACCCTTAGCCTGACTGAATGCTATTTCCCTACTGGAGCATCAACTGGTGACATTAAAAAAGAGCTATTCTAATTTGAACTACAACAAACAATACAACACCTTCATGAGCTAAGATACCCAAAAATCATCTTAGGAAATATCAACTTTTGCCTAGGTCCTAAACTCAGTAATAGTCATTCAAACTGTATGGGAATTTATACTGACATTGAAATCGAACCATCTTCAAATGTCACACGTTTAATAAACCTCTGTGATAAGATGAACTTGAAAATAATTAGCTTCTTTAACAAACTTAAGGCAAAAATACATACCCCAGTCCACCCGGGTACAAAAATACCAATCACATTATGGACTTTAAACTAGCTTAATGGAAGTCAAACCTTCTAGTATTTGAGATTTATTCTAGCTGACCCTTTGAAGCTAATGCAGATTATCATATAGTGACAAAAACAGTTAAATTAAATAGATCCCGAAACTTCAGAGATCTTAAGCAAAGTGGATGAACTGAATGCTGTCTTTTAGGAAAACAAACAACATCACGCATAGGAACTACGTGAAGAAATGTTGGCCACCATCCGAAACCAATCATACAATCATCGCAAAAATAAAAATAACAGACGACACTGTGGTTTTACTACCACAATATATGCTAAAATGATATACAAGAGACTAAAACACTTGACTGAACAAAACCTCCCTCCAACTCAATTCGAATTTCGAAAACACCTTTCAGCTACATATGCAATTGCGATGATAAGACACACAATAGAATGTGCTCTAAACTTCAACTAAGAGCTAATACAACCCTTCATTCTCCTCACCAAAATTTTTGACTCATTACCAATAAAGCTGCCTTTGGGTACACCTTTTAAAGAGGTCTCGCCAAGCAATATCAACTGAAACATGACAAAGCCAGTGGATGACCCAAAAGGCTACATAAAAGGCACAAACCAACACTTCACAATGGCTGCAGGCGTACGGTAAGGCAGTGAAGAAGGCCCGCCTCTCTTCATCCTCGTACTCCAAAAAATTCTTAGTTCAACAATAGATCATTTGACAATTGGCCTGGAACTGACTGATTACAACAATGTAACCTGGACATTATATCACATCTACATTAGGATCAAAATGCACTAAATAAAAAATTTCATTCGTTGAATAAGTTTTTACAGTTTTACTCTAAGCTTTTTTAGATATTAAAGAATAATAAATTTGAATTAAGAGTAAAAATTAACATTACAAGTTATATAATTCTTGAGTAAAATGTTTTCACTCTTGTAATTCGATTCATTCTCTTAAGTGATTTGAATTAACTCAATGACATTTATTTGTTAAATTGTCTTTAAGAGAACTAATCAATTAACTTTTTACTGTGATATATTTGTATTTGAGGTCAGAGATTATTATGTTATCTATATATATTAAAAAATATCCGTGCACCTAAGTTTCCTACAGAGTACAAATCATCAGTTAGACGTCTTTACAACATTGAATGAAAAAAATAATGGTCATTTGTACTCATAATTTTTATCTTATTCCTTTTTGTGAATTGCTTTCTAGAAAAGTAACTATTTTATAATCAAAAACGTGTTAACTTACGTATTAACAGGTACAGTTGTATTGCTCTTCTCATGTTTAGTAAAGAGGCAGAGGGGGTTTAAAACTTTTTCTTGATCACAGTATGATTCCTGTTCTTTATTAATAAAACTAGTTGGTGTCACTGAAGAAGAATCCAAAAGGTTTCCACGTGGGACATTTAAATTTAAACTTTTTTCATTAAACTGTGTTACTGCTGTTTGTTTAGACTTTAAAGGTAAATTAATGGAAGCAAAATCGTCGAACGCTTTATCATTTGCACCATTTTGATAGTTTTCACGAATACTATCTTTTTTAATTGAAAAATCACATACTAGTGCTGTTCTTGATTTAATTGTATTTTCTGCTTTATCCAACTCATCTAAAACTGTTATGGTTAAATCTACACCATCAGGATAATGCCTAAACCAATGCATCGCTGTTAGTTGATCCCAGCCATGTACGCACTGACCATTTAGTGATACAACTTGCTGACCAGATCGTAGACCAACACGTGATGCTGGTGAATTAGGCAGGACAACATCTATTCGAAGTTCCTGTTGGATAAGAAAGCAAATGATATTTTACAATATTATATGTATCTAACAATAAAAGATTGTGCGTGTGTACACGAGATCCTCGTAAAATTAATAAGTTAATAAGGAATTATAATGTGAAAGAAGTAATATGATCAGAGCGTTTTTGTAATAGAGGGGTTAAATGAAATGAAGAGAAATCAAAAACAATTATGGGTAAAATCATGAGGATATGAGAACCATTTAAAGACATGGAGATATTTTCAAATACCAAATATAATAATAATAGTATTAGTTTGAGGCTATGTTAATGATAAGGATGAGAAGTGCTTCTTTTATATGCGCAGTTCTGGCTTCAGCCCATGGATAGCATGAACTTCTGCCGTTTTGAGGATTTGAGTACAAAGAAATCGATGTAGATTTGGATGAATTGTATAAACAACCGTAAAATAAACTTGTAAATCAGCGGAGTGATTAGAGTCGATTAGATACTTAACAATGGAGTTTCTCACTGCCTTCCTCTCACCTTTGTAGAACCACACCGGGAAATATTCTCGAATCCGAGTTAGAATTGCTGGCCATAGCCTATGTACTTTGCCTCACAAGAGCAGGTGAACTGATAGATGCGCATACAGGTTACAAGGCGAGGAAGCTTATCCTTTACAGATATAGAAAACAAGTTTCTACTTGTAAACATTAGTTGCAACCGTGCTGCAAAGGACGTTCTTTTCATTGCTGCCGATGGCCGAATCCTAATTACGGCAGAAATTTTGTTACCCTTAAGTTTCGGATTCATGAAAAGATATTTTTCTTAAAATGAATTGCCGGACTCCCTGTTTCGACTTCTTTTCATGTTCTTCTTTATGAAGCGGTTTGGATAGCCGTTTTCATCTAAAGCTTTTCTGAAAAGTGGAGGCTCTTCATCGATGCGTTCAGTAATACATATCTGATGTATTCGGTAACACAAATAGTGAATAAGCTTCTTCTTTCTGCTTAGTGGAGCTCAGCTAAAGAATTTGGTCCGGCACGAGTACCAGGTTTATTTTCTGTAAATGAACCTTTTTAAGGATCCATCACACCTCCTTGTCAGATGCACATCGCGAAACTATACTGAATGACCTACCTCATTTCCTAACGTGAAATCTAAGGAAGAATGGCATATGCTGAAGAATGTGAAGTATGTACCAGTTCTACAATCTCGTCGCAAATAAAGAGCGTATCGTCCATATGTCTTTCGTAAAGATAAAATCGATCGGTTATCGAACTAAGCTGATCGTTTTCCAATTCAGAAGTGAAACAGTCTGCTAAGATTGGGGTCAACGGGGACCTCATTTCAATCTCACCGTTGGATGCCAGCTCAGTGGTTCAGCGGTTAGGCGTTCGCGCGCAAGAGCAAAGGTCCTGGGTTCGATTCCCGCGAGCTGGATCGTGGATGCACACTACTGAGGAGTCCCATACTAGGATGAAACGGCTGGTCAGTGCTTCCAGGTTCTCAATAGTGGTCTAACATCGATCGATTGATGAACTAAATCAAAAATCCAATAATCTACACAACCTCATACTCATCATGAATACTTGGAACAAATTATAAATTGAATACGTCTGTGGTATTAATAATTGAATGAGACAGAGATACTATTGGGGTCAAAGAACATGAGTACATCTAATATTATTGTTTAATATTCATACGGTAATTCAACAATACATGAAACAAGTATGCGTTAATCAAGAAATAACAGAAAGGTTGTTATGTATGCTAGCAAAAAGTAATTTAATGAAATAAAGGTGATAACATTTATTTGTGAGATTAGTATTCCGGATAAATACAAGTAATGCATGTTCAAAAGTATAATAACACAGATTCATAATCATAATACAACTCTGTGCTTAACAATTGATTGTTTCAGTATGAATTTCTAATGTTAGAGTTTGTATTTGACGATAGTCAAATTACAGCCTATTAGTATAAGGATAAAGAGCTTGTTAGTAGATTTAAAAGCCCTTGGTTCAACTGCTGAACTTGCGAAAAAATATTTTGAAGAACAGTGTATACTATATAGAAGCTCAAGAGAATAGTTTGAGTTCATCTAACAAATGAACTGTCCATGAATATGTCATACTTTGTGAAATTTTTCTGTCATATTTATTAGTAAAATCTAATTTTAAATATTCCGTGGTCACTTTATTCAACTATTTGACTACATTAAGGTATTCGAAAATTATTTAACCTACTTAAAAGTGACCGCAAATGCTGAAAAAATTATCTAGATGATAAAGTTAATGTTTCATTTGAACAAGTTATTTATTTTTAAAAAAACTCATGAACAGTAACCCACTGACAAATGAGCGTGAACTATAAGGCATCAATGAAATTCACTTGATTTTTCCTGAATGAAGTTGGTATTTTTCACTAACCTTTTTCAGTGAATGTTTCATTTCTTTAGACAAATGAAATGTGGTTATTTTCTTCAAAATATTTCTTTTTTAAGGAGAATGTAAGTTCTAAATTGATTATTTATTTAGTATAATGATAGAAAGGCTTTTAAATAAGTCGTTTCAATGACAAATAAAACTTGAAAAACTGTTATTTGCGAAAATAATATACATATATATATTGTTTGAAAGTTGGGTGAAGAATGAAAATTGATTCAGCTGCAGTGGTTTACAAGTGTCTAACAGTTATTCGAGACATAAGGAAATGAAGTAATAATACCAACTTATTCGAATTTTCATTTAATAATATCAATTTCTACAGATAACGTTCTGTAGTATTTAATACATTAGTTGCCCAAAGTTAAAGATATAAACCTCAAAGAAGTAGTTCAGTATCTCATAGATGATTTTAACCATTAAGTTCAATCTTAAAATTATACCATTTAAATTTCAATAGATATTTAACTGATATTAATGCTGATAGAAATATGAACTTCAATAGTTTATTTATTCGAATATAATCTGCCTTCTTCAAACCTTACCAAATTTCAAAATTAATGACCGAATTTATTACTTTCCCTATAATATTACATATAAATCTTTTGTAGTTTGTAATATTAGTTGTAAATGAAAATTCACTGAAACTTTGACAGAACATCATATGACTTTTGACTATGAAAGAAAGGAAAAAAATACTAGAAAAGAAAAGAACACTTTTATTAAATATCGTTGAATCTTTTAAAAGCATTTTGGTAATGTAGTGTATTATAATCTAAAAACAGACATTCATTTTCTATGTAATGCCACTATTTTTTAAGAACAACACAATAGGTAATCTAAAAATCGGATAGATTTCATTTACTCAAAGCGTTTATGTATATCTATGCTTTTTATCTAAACATCTTATTTTATTGAATATAAATAGTGCACAATGTAGTGATTTTTTTCTCCATTCTAGACCAAAAAGTGAAGCTATAACGATTGTTTAAGACAAATGACAGTATTTATCATTTCCCTATCACATTTAAAATATCAAAATATCCGCACGAAGAATTTATGAAAATTTAAAACAAACAATCAATAACGTTTAGATTAAATTTATGACGGGAGATAGGGTGATTGAGGTGACTTTTTCCGAAATCAATTTTTCAGTTTATTTTTTTCCTATCTTTTCATTAGAAATCCAAATCTAAATTTCGTATTGATAATGGTTGATGAGTGCCTTGTTCTGGACGAAGCAACGGTATGGGTAATATGCTAAGATGAAACTTAAAAGTTATGAATCCATGAACTATATTTCTTCGTATTTTGCAGAAGCTAAACAATAACAACTTAGGTACCTTTATAACTGCAAATATTCATCACTATTCTTGTTTGCTCATATTATACCTAACTGACAAAATACTCCGTAAACTAATCAATTCCATTTGATGGAAGAGTTATTGGCCAAGCCTACGTAATCCGTATGACAAACACTTAAGTTAAAATAACTTATTCTCTATCGAGTAAACAAAATTTCTAACATCGATAGATCTAGCGTTTTGGTTTTCTCAGAAGAATGAAAATACCACACATTTAATGATAAACCACTAACATGAAATATTAAACCATTTATTACGCTATTACCAGGCACAGGCTTTTCGAAGCCAGTTACATAGAAGAAAGTTCGAACACTTGATTCAATTATTCATCGCATAGGGCTTAAACTGGTAGTTAAACTTTTAAAATCGTTTCCTTATGATTCGCCTTCTTGGAATGACCTTTACACAGATCGAAATCCTTTTTGTTTAGAAAAATAATCAATCATCATGTAAAGACGTGTATTTTAAAACAGTCAGTTTATCAGACTTAACCTCAATTTAGAAGTTTTCCCGATAGATGATTTTGTTTAATGATTTCATTACATACCAATGAGCCTTTACTATTCAGCATAAACTGTATCATTTGCAAGTTGTTTATTCGCTCTATTTAAATTTGTTAATGCTGAGGAGTAATCTAAATATTTTTTTAAAGAGTTTATTCACTTCATTATTTCGGTTAAGACTCGTGCTTACCACAATAAAACTGAATGAATGATACTAGAAAATTTCAGGTTGTGGTGTGCTTTTAAATAAATTTTCGGAAGTTTTCTAAGTACGTATTCAGATCTTTTTTGACGTAGTTACATAATTCCAACTTATTTATATTGAGATGTTTTTCAAACTGACTTTATCATAACTACTTCAACTAGCATAAAACGGTCAATAACAGAAATTTCTCAAGACCGTATACTTTAATGTTAATGATACCTAGATCTTTTACTTTGATGATGAAATGTTATCTATAATAAATTCATGACAGACAAACAGGAAAAAAACAGTTGTTACCTTTATTCCTAACTAAAAACCCTTATTTTTTATTTTTAGAAAACAAACAGTAGGGTGCTATTGCAATAAAACTAAACATAATCTAAGAACTAATACATACTTTTTATATGAATTTACGATACAGTTAATCAGAAATGATTATTGTTACTAACAGACTTACATGTTTAAAACTTTTCAATTTTATCCCAATTTTCCCATTCTGTTTACGAATAACAGTTGTAAGAAGATAAGATGTAAACGGCCTGAGATAATTACAAAATGCATATGTAAAAGAATAAAGATTAATTGAGAATATAGGAGAATAAATAAAATGGTGATTGAATGCGAATTCCTTACTCATTACAAAAAAGTAAGTTAATTTATACAATTTCATTTTATTCGCCTTTAAATACAAAAAATAACTATAAATGTACGCAAATTCGAAAGAATATCCTTTTTAACAGGGTGTATAGATTAATTTCAAAAGCTAATGCATTGAATAATTCTGTGATTTGAATTTCAAAACTTGTTACAGAATTCATATTAAATCATAAAAAGGAATGGAACCTAAGAACTTTCAGTATTTCTGCTTTCGCGTAACGATTAAGACACTATGGGAAAGCGAAAATATATGCAGTTGATGTAAATCTCTTGTCAGGTTCAGATCTTACGTTTTACACTTTACTTTTTGATATGATACTAAAGATTTTAAACTCACGTAAAGTCAGTGGAGTCCACTCATTAGATGTATCGAATTATAACTATACAACATTAAAGTTCATCAGTTTTTAGTAGTTTTTTTAATATTATACTCAAACAGTTTTCAATATTGAGAAGAATTTGATAAAAAACTGCCAACCACAATACATACAACTAGAGTTCATTTCAGTAGCAGTGAAAACTTAATATGATAACAACTAAAAAGTTCTATAAGTTTCCTACCTTAATAATAATATCACGCTCAGTGCTGAAGAGCTTTGTTAACGTGTACGTAATAGAAGTGACAAGCCCTCTGGAAAGCCTAGATAATCTACTTGCGTCACAGGTTCACAAAATATTCCACAGTCTCCCTGAGATGCTGACTTCTTCATAATCCAGTCTGCTACTAGTTAGAGCAAAACAGGTGAGTGGAGGCAACATTGTCTGTTACCGGGTTTTACTTGATACACCTGTGAGCAACGCATCATGGATGAGTTTGCGATTCCGTCCGTTATAGAAGTTCCATGTGATGGTGATAATCGTTTCAGGTACTTCATAGGTTATTCACTCTGTCCATCTTTTTTCCACAATCAAAGTCGTCGATGTTTCGTGATCAGTTCCATTCACTTGGTTGTTCAACATTGATTATCACTGTGACATTGATCCTTACGGAATTCGAATTATTGATTTTGATGTTGTGCGTCTACTGAATCTTCCAGTTGGTTTAACATCATTCTGTTGAAAACTTTGCCAGATGCCAACAGTAGTGAGATGCCCCTTTAGTTCTCACATTTACTAATATCTCGCTGCTTTTGTATTTGTATGAGGTATCCGTGTTTTTAGTCTCCTGATACTTGTTCTTCATCCCATATGTTCCTGAGAGAACATGAAACGACCTTTCGGTTACTTCTATATTTGACCTCAATGCTTCATCTAGCATCCTGTCTGCTCCTTCTGATTCCTTAAGGAGGAGTGTATTAAACTTTGTAACTGTGCTTGTTCAAATGTGGCTCCTTATTGAATTATAACTTCGTATCAATGATGTCATATACCAAACGTTCTTCTAAATTTCAGTCATTAGCTTAACAAACGCTTCTTCTATCTTCAATGATTTTAAATTATCTAAAACTAGTAAAACTTAAAAGAACCTATAAACTCAACTGATTAAAATTATGATTAACAAGATTATGTACACTGGAATATCTACGATGATGTCTCAGAATAGGATTTTTCATATGAAAAAAAGTAACACATAAATGATATAAAATTCAATTTGAATACGGTTGATATTTAGATAATCTCTTTTTTGAAATGTAAATAAATATATTTGAAAAAAGGTTTAAAGAAAAGAATCAATTGGGAGATTTGAGACATAGTGCTTGTTCAATAGGCGATCGGAACAGTCGATAAAAGGGATGTAATTATAACAGAAATTGAACCAATCAAGCTGATGCTTCAAATATCATCGTAGACTTTACAAATAACGGGAATTGATTTTCTTTATGGGTAATGAAACTAGCAATGCTTCTACTCACAATTAAATAAATCAAAAATGGTCCTTCTCAATTAATGTTTGAATGGTGGCTGGTAGTAGAGTCTTGAAAGCACTCTTCTTCCTGTTTTGGACATGTCTTCTGGATACACCTTCATTGTAGTGATGGTATTCACATTGAATCTTGAACCTATTACTTTATGCTTTGAATGTCAATGCATTATCCATTGAGCTACAGATTCTGAATAGCTACTTGTTTATCCAACAGGTATGAATTTGATTTGTGAGAGTTTTCATTTTCTGTTTGTTAATGTCAAAGATTACAACTGACCAGTCTCTAATGACTTATGGAGTTGTTAGTGATAGATATTTGAGTCTGGATTACTCAAATATTTCCTTACAAAGTTTAAACTAATGGGATTAAGAATAAAATACCCTACCATCAACATTTTATTACTTAATTTTACTTTTCCACTAGGTATCCAGAATTATTCACTCTTCATGGGTGGTTGAAAATTTAATCTCCAGTTGTGACAATTATTTTGATAGGACGGATTTATTAAGCTTAGACATAAAAATTATTATTTCTTCTGCTCTAAGTGACTGTAAATTACTCTATCCTTGCTAAGCGTGAAAACATTATACAAAATGATCGAAAATAGATGTTATCAGGATAAGTGAAAATCGTCTTATAAGTCGAAAGGATAACTAATGGCAGTATAAAAAGTAAACATTCATAATTTTATTTTACCGAAATTTCCATGATTCATCTAATTATACTGAAAACCTAGTAAGAGCGGTGATATGACGTAAGTACCACAAGGAGAATATCAAAACGCTCACTGTAAACGAATCACACCTGGAAATAACAGTTCATTACACTGAACTAATTTATCAATAAAAGTCAATAACTGTTATATTCACTTGATGCTGAATATTCATTCTTCATGATGCATAATATTCGATAGGTAAGTGCCGACAACATTTTCTGTTTAAATGTTAAGAGGTTTTAATCGAGCAAAGAACTAACTGACAAGATCATTAAAGTGAATATTATGATTAGATAACAGAATAATAATAGTGATTGCATGTATTGTATCTCTGCCATTATAAAATCAGTGATTAAGACTGAATAAAAAATCATAGAACTAAATCCTTGTTCAATTATATTTTTGACATTTTGTTAGACATTTTGCACAAATTAGGAATTGATTTAACAAAATTTTAAACTCAATTATTTTAATATACAATAGTAATATGCGTTTTGTAAACTGTATTTTCTTTAGTCAACACTTGAAATTCTAAAATGTAGTCACATTAAAAAAGTTGAAAACAAAGGTAATCATTTATAAAATGTGTATAAAAATCAATTTTACATCTACTCTATATTACTTAAAATGTTGTGAAAACTAGCGAGAGGAATTGTGTTATCTAGGGAATTCTGTGTAATTGGTCACCAATTTATGATATCGATCAATCTTCATCCACTCCCTGAGTTAGGTAACTGTTTCACATTAGCACCGTTGGATGCCGGTTCAGTGTTCTATATATCAAGCGTTCGAAAACGAGATCGAAAGGTTTGGGTTTGATTCATGCGCATTGGATCAAGGATGAGCACTGCGGAGAAGTCCCATAGCATAAAGAAACAATTGTTCAATGCTTCCAGGTTTTCAATATTAGTCTAACTAAAATCAGTTCGTAATTTAAAACAGTTCACTAATTCTTGTAAAGTATGGTCGATAAACGAACCTAGCAATGACAACACCAAACACCCATCACCACATTTGCTCTCTTTGACCTTGTATGACTATGCCTTGTTTATTCACCAATCATAATTCTTATATTTATCATCAACGATATTAGGTTTGTTGACTCATCTCTCTTGTACACTAGTTACTGCTCAGTATGTAATTCATGTCTCTTTTTTCTCTGTTTAATAGACTGTATTAATTTTCTACTTTGTATACTCAGTGTTCATTTACGTTTTAGAAACAGACAAAATTAATCAAGCTAAAGAGTATACATTTTCTGACTTTAGCTAAGCTAAGACTTTGTACTAAACAGTCTGGGGAATAGTTTAGAATTGTATCTGTAGGAAACTGCTTCTGACACTTCCCTCAATTTGTACATGATCAAATCACGTTATTACCATATAACATCAAAGGAGAAAGTTAATTGTCAAAGGTAATTTTGCTTTACAATCCAATTCTCTTATAAAATTTCCGTCATATTCTTTAGTGTATCAAAATACCATATACACTTACTTATTGCTCTGTCTACTATACTCAACTTCAATCAATAGTTAAAGAGATCAGACATGTTTACTATTACTTTTCAAGTTAACAGTAAAAGCGTATAATCATACTTCTACTAAGTTCTAAAACACGCCATTTCGTTAGTAACAGAACATCACATACAACAGATTATACACCTGATTGTTTTATTTAAGACAGATTTATCTATATTCATTTCTAGTTTCAAAGATGTACATGACTTAGATTTAAAAGCTTTGGAAATAGTTTTAGTAAATTTTTAAAAAGAAATCTTTTTAATCAATTCAATCAGTTAGGATTCGACAACAAACTTGTAAATAATTATGACAGTCTATAGAACATAGTGAAACATCATTCGAGTATATATTGACTAAGAATCATCAAACCCATAATATACAGTTATGTTCTAATTACAATTATTTTATTTTTCAAATTCTATAAAACATTTTAAATAGTCAAATGGTACTAATCAAAAACAAAAAAAATATTTGTCTCCAACATAAAGTAAATTTACATATAATGTATTTTCGGACAATTGACATTTTCCTAAATTTTAGGTATAATTTGAAACAAAATAAGAAAAAACAAAAGAGAGGTATATACTGTATGTTCTCTCAAAATCTTAAAAAGGTTTTCTTTCATTTCTAATAAGGGAATAATACAAACATTTTTAGTAGTAAAATCAGTTGTTTCTCCTTAATTCGCTTCTTTATTATTATCAGATGGGTTTTGTGGATATTGTAATAATTTCAATAGTTAAGATCATGAGTCAGTTGAAGCTGAACCACCATGGAAAACCTGGAAGCACTAGACGGCCGTTTCGTTCCATTGTGGGACTCCTCAGCAGTGCACATCCACGACCTCGCCCCCTGCGAGATTCGAACCTAGGACCTACTGGTTTCGCGCGCGAACACTTAAACACTAAACCACTGAGACGTCATCCAACGGTGTTAATGTCTAACTTCCACTAATCCCCGAAATTGAGCGACACATCCACCTATGTCTTCAGTGAGTTACTATCTCACAACAAACCTGGTTGAACTCCTCTGGTCACTACTTCTCACTAGAACTCCAGGATATGCCTCGTGAAGCCAGTCACTAGTGAGCATATGTTGATTAATATCAGATGGGTTTTGTGGATATTATAGTAATTTCAATGGTTAAGATCATGAGTCAGTTATTATTTTTTTTCTACAATAAACTGAAAATCGGAGAAAGAAAACACACTTAGAATTTTCCTTTAAATATCATGAAACGCATATCGATTAGGAATAAGTTTGAAAAATCCTGTTTTTTTTTAAATTTATTTTTATCATCTAACATGCATTAGAGAATTAAACTATAAAATGGGAAGCATTTGATTTTACTTATCATTATTTAGTCATTAAAAATGCATTAGTTATCGAGTAAAGAAGATAGAATAATAAATAAATGCCATGGATTGGTTGAAGTTAAACATAAACATCGTTGAATCCACCCGATTCAGTGGTTTAGAGGTTGAGCGCTTGTGCGAGACCAAAAGTCCCGGGTTAAAATCCTAAGTGTGAGATCGTGAATGCTCACTTCTGAGGACTGCTGTACTTGGACGAAACGGCCGTTCAGTGATTCCAGGTTTCTAATGATGGTCTAGCATTGATCAGCTCATGGTCTCATTTAAAATAAATAAATGTCTTTATTTATGTTTCGAAATTTCCAAAAGTAATTTCAACTATTGGCTGATCAAAGTTATGTTTTCTATGTTCATCATACTGCTCAAATTGTATCAATCATGTTATAAATATAATTACTAGTCTAAATGATACGACATTGGGTATCTGTAATTATGAGAGAATTACTGCTCCATAAATAATTTGGACTGACATCACCAAGTGTTTGATGAATGTTAATATATCACTTACACAAAGGTAAGCCTTTGAATAGGACTCTTGAATAGGTCAGCGGCAAGTAAAATTGAATGAGGTAAGAGTATTAGTTTTCTCAGGATCTCAAATGCACCTTTCTAACAAGTGTCAACTGACTAAATGTAGGTTAGGCATTCTGTCAGAAAAAACGAAAACAATTAAAAATTATTGCAAACACCTAAATGCAATAGATTTAGTCACTCTGGTTTTTAGTTTTTTCTGTCTAAATTATTTTATGTCTATTATAGCAGAGTTTATTAAATTCAAAATTTCCATAAACTCTTGTTCTCTATTAGAATGAGTACTTTTCATTGGAACATTGTTTATAAATCTTGATAGATTTTAAGACTTAAATGAAACAGGGAAGGTTTAACCAAACATTTGTTTTGTTGATTATTAGCATAATGATAAGGACCTAAGTAATGATAATTATTATCGGTGAGTGAACGGTTTTTAACTATGAGAGTAACTCAGCGAAATAAACGTAACTATCTATTTGGTAAATCAGATTATTTTCAAGTAAATAAACTTGATGTGGTAATGATAATTAGCGGCTTAATTTTGGAACATGTTTGCATTTCGATTACTGCTCTAGCATCATTTTTCAGGAGTATCGATTTCATTCAGAAAACCAGAAAAAAAGATCTACATGAGTTAAAAATCTAACCCATGATATCAATACTGACATACACTTCATCTCCAAGTTACTTACAAAGCCTCAAGTCCATGACTGTTCCTGCCTAAAGACACGTAAAACCGTTAATTCGTGTATGAAATATTTTTCCAATAAAAAGTAAACTTGTTTAAGCTAATGTATAAGGAAACATAATCTACGACAGAACTTTAAACAGTAGTCAATATGTTGTTCACCTTCTAACTTAGCTCCTTCAGAAACTAGAATATCACACTTTCTATTAGAATAACAAATTTGTCACAAAATAAGTTGTTAAATGATTGGCATTTATTTTTTAATATATGATAGGATCTGTACAACTTCTAAACCACTAAGCATCATCATTGTAAAGAAAATTCACTGGGGAAGACGTTATACGGAATCATGTGCTTGGAATTTTCCTCAAAAGTAACGATAACACATATTTTCTAGATATCAAGGTCTATTAACTTACAAAGTTCCATTTGTTACTAAGATTCTATTGTCGTCTTCAGTTAGTCGCAAGTTATAAAAAAGAATTATCTCTCACTGTTTTCACTCCAATGAATATGATTAGTAATTTTTTGAATAAATAAATAATTTATTTAGTCATCCATTTCTAGCTGAATATTGTTGTTGCATTTTATCCATGTTCTAAATTTATATACAAAACCCATTTCTCCAGTTCCAATTTATTTCTATTCTTCATTAGAGGAAATAAAAACTTTGTAATTAGGTTTTTGAGAATAATTACCCTTTTATTGATGTTGTTTTTCTACATTATTCTTCAAGTCTGGAGGTTAATTAAGAGGATAATCTAAATGTATTGAAAATCTCTTCACAAACTATAAAAACAAAATGTTTGAATGTTAATTAGAAATAGTGTTAGAAGTGTTCAATGGCAGTACTTATGAAAATTTGATCATAATACATGTGTACATGAGTAACCGAAGTACAAATGTAATTAACGAGATCACTTGAGTTGAATTTCAGGTAACCCTGTAGAATATCTACTAATTATAAATGTAACATATATGAACTGCTATCTTATAAATTCATTCATGGTTTTTAGAAAGACATGGTAAAATTTTTACATGTAATATATTTTAGGAACAGGAACACTGTCGTCCTGGCTGATTCGAACAGCAATCTAAAAGTTTCACAAAGATATCGAGACACCTAGTTACATTGTGATTCTGTTATTTACATCCTTGGGATTGAGAATTCACCCTATGTTAACCATTTAACTACACTTCTACATAGTTGTTTTATGTAACCTCTACATGCGACGTCAAACTAAGAAGCCTACCATTTTGAAACGTGGTATATTGAATATATTAAATGTTAAATCAGAATTTGTTTCCTGAAATATTTATAATATACTTTTTAGTATTTTACTAAATAATTTTGTAAACCAAGTCCTTTCATACCATATTACTAGATCTTTGGATAATGTGGTAGATCCATTGTGTACCATACATCGATTGATTTACATTTGAAAATTAATAACCTACATATTTTAATTTTACTAAACGGTAAAGATTTCATTTTCACAGTTAATTGACCAATTACTTCAAACTACTCGTTTTATACTAGTTAGATTTGCGTTTTTGTTTTTGAAAGTGCATTAAATTGCAAATGAATTCAACTATATTGTAATAAATCAGAAAGCAGTATTGTAACGGAAATATAATAAACAATGTTATTTAAAAGAAAAGGTTCAGCTTGACTTAAAAAAGAATTATTAAGTGTTTGAAATGGCGATTAAATTAAACAATACAGTCACTTAGTTTCTAGGGGACAACAGAGAAAGGTAATATATTTGTAATTTTAAAAAATATGAATTCTTATGTTACAAATATCTGAAAACAAAACATAGATGTGCACTTTATAATAAAGGCTTCTAAACTGGAATAATATTGCTGTCAAATGGTTCTTGACTTTCAATTGTACTGTGCCTAATATCAGTTTTTCAGAGAAACCGCTTTTAAATGATACAATATGTCTGAAACATTTAATACTATATATATATATATATATATATATATATATATATATATATATATATATATATATATATATATATATATATATATATATATATATATATATATATATATATATATGGCTATCAGGACTCAAAGACTAAGTGGATAACGCGATGGAGTTTGAAGCGAACGGTATTGGGTTCGGGTTCTCGGAGTGAGCACCAACTCTGAGATGCAGGTACATTCAACTGTCGAGTCCCAAATAGGACAGGACGCGCGTCTTGGATTCCGCTGCTAGCCACTATCCATCTTTGCTTAGAATGCTGATGAATTAAGGCAATACGCGCAGTATGCACATATGCCAATAACAGACTAAGGAATTGCAGTACGAAACATTAAAGGGAAGATTCAATTAAACAATACCAAGTGAATAAATAATTTAGTATTGTTTCCAAAAAAGGACTAATTAAAGGTTATGGAACTCACCTGGTTTGATAGTAAAGATATAATGGACCGATTGATTTTCTTATGTAGTTTAACAACTCGTCAAGAAGCATTTGGTCTGTCTCTAGTTCATTAACGCGTATTAATCGATCGCCAACTTTAAGTCCAGCTAGCTGAGCTGGTGATTTTGGTAGTATCATTGCTATATATGTTACCTAATATGTTAAGGAAAGAAAACAATTTAATTAATATAATGTCGAAGTTTTTAAATATTACAGTGTGTATACTTGATACAATAGTTGATGTGGGTGGTGCGTTTTATACTGAAAACAGTCCAGTTACTATAGTGATTGGTTTCAGTCATAACGTACAACATGCTCAGAAAAAATGTTACAGTGATATTTAAAAATTTTCCTTGTTTGACGAACCAACAGTTTTTACGGTCAATGAAATATTGCTTTCAGAGGTTTATTTACTTGAGGAATATGGAATATTGGAGCTATCAAACGAGCTTTCTTATACATATTCAAAGGAAATATCTAACTAATTCACTAGTTCAGATATCTGTTGGGATAGGTATGTTCAGTTATAAACTGTATAAATTAAGTAATGTTGTGAGATGTCGGGGAGTCTTACTCAGTTTATTTGACTGAACTTACGAACTGATCTAAGTATGCAGGAATCAAACTCAAAGCCTTGGGTATTACGCGATGCTTAACCTCTAGACCATTGAGCCGAGATTCAGTGGTGTACAAGTTTAATTTCAATTAATCCAGCATATATTTAAATAGTTACTTCGTTTACACCTAATGTATCAAATGAATCCGTTAATAAGGACGTGTAAATTCTGCGAAACTTATGGGAACTAATCTTATCTCTTGCAAAGTACTCTACACATGTCATGATATTCATGTGCCATCAAAATTTTCTAAAATCAATCCATTCAGCTACCTCGACATTTCTTCGTTTTAAATGTCTTATCAAAGTCTTGTGCTCAGAACGATTTCCAAAATTCATTTTATTGCAATCATTCGAACACTCCTTTGGCTAAATTACGTTTCTACACGAACGTCTTAGTCCAGCACCATTCTTGCATCTTCTTTTCTCTCATGGAAACTACTGGTTCACAAGAAAAGAGCTTATTCATCCAAAGACATAAACATACATAAACATACATAAACATCCTTCAACATTTCGTTCAGTGAAAATAATAAACTTTCACTAAGTATTATACAGTTATTTGTTTTAGATTCATTGGACATATTACGTTTGTACCCAAGCGAATATTAGATACTAACAGATGTTTTTGAAATCAAATTCAGTATTTTAGTGCTTCGCATTACAATTTCTCCATCGCTTAAATCTACTTTGATAATATTTATTCCAATATGGTTTGAAAGATGTTATCAAAACAGGGACTAAAACCATCAATTTTTCATGCAGTAGTTCTCCATACTTCACTTCCTTTTCGGGTTGGTATAAAATATTTTAAATTGTGTATTTGATAATCATAACGGAAGATTCATTTTAATTTTACCACCCTTTAATGTTACTCAGTTTTGTGAAGATGAATTATTTCCACAACTTTTATGATAACTATCAATTTATTTCTAAAGTTGGTCTGTCATAAATTGCATAACATAATGCAATCCATTGTTGGTTAATTTGGTACACCTGTGTTATAAAAATTACTGTTTTACATAGTGGCATGTATCCTTTTAGAGATTAATCGAGATTTCAGTAATAAAACGATAAAATAGCATCACTTGATAGCTGATCCTTACAATATTTTTATGGTAGTACTTTGTTAAAGAGACTATAGATCACCAAATGTGGAAGCAAAGTGGCTCCACAATAACAACGATGATGCTAATTGTGAGATATAGACTCTTATTTACTTCGTACATGTTCTATCAACTACCACCGTTAATAACAACGGCAAATGAAAAGTAGAATACTAGAGTATTTAACATACATGCATTTCATGCAACAATATGCCCCTCAGACGGAGGAGGAATAAGCAATAGTTCAATATTTTTAAAAAGAAACATGGATTGATGAATTACTTGTATGTCAGCTAACTTACCACGATGCTATCATTATCTAATATGCTCCTAACTTTTGTACAGCTAGAAAGATACACTCTGTTAAACATTTGAATCATATTTCTATATCCTCAAACAAATGTTAATTCCTATCAAATAGTTTAATCACCCTAACTTTAGTAATGTATGGTTCACTGATATTAGAAATGACCACAACATTGAAAAATGTCTCCATTTCATTATTAACTGATAATAATTGCTTGACATTTGCCAAACAGTTTATTTGGAAATAATTAAAGTCGTTTCATAACTTTTCGAACATAAATCAATCTGTTGAAAGTTTTTTAAATGAACTATATGCTCACTCTCTAAATAAAGCAGTTCATTTGATTTGAAAAGAATATCTGTTCCTTATACTATCAACCAAACATCAAATTCTGAGAGGATAGATTGCGTCAGTGGTACCGATATCTTCAGATTAGTGAGTGTTTCAAGCGTTACGTTCACTGTGTTTTACTTTTCTATACAATGTCCCTATCTATCAATAAACATTAAAGTATTTAAGGACATTCTCAACCGTCTAGACACATTGTTGTGATAGTGTCAGCTTTATGCTAGAATTATTTTAGCTCGTCTTACTTTTCAGTAAAGTTATGATTAGATATATAGGTAAGTAAGCAACAAATGTTTACCCTAATAAATATTATGAAATTTATAGAAGCAATAATGCGGTATTTGATGACATTTCGTCCAAACAAAACGTCCAGGTAAAAAAATGACAGAATATTTAGCATGTTTAAAATTCTCGATAAATACAAAGTAAACTTTGGACATTGCTATTACTGTTTAACGCTCCGTTAAACCGCATGATCAACACAATGTGAATACAAAAGAAACAGTTATCATCGCTTCAGCATTATCATCTGTTTTAAACACTCATTCGACTAGTCGTACAGCATCTGTTTCGAATTTCTTATCCACCTAACTGACAGATTAAAAAAAATATGAACATGTGCAGCAACAAGTTTCATACATTTAATGATTTCCTATCTTTGCTTTTTAACTGTGTTCGTCCAATCAAGCGAGTTATAGTTGATGATCTTGCAAAATATTTTATTCAACAACCATAAGACAGTTGTGATAATACTTCTTTTAATTGCATTTTTCTACTTGTCCCGGTAGAAATGATCCAATAGACATTGACTCAGATCTTTTTCAAATTTAGCCATCTTCATGTATAATAAAATTTATAGCGATCAATTCTAACTTAAGAAGGTTGTTTGATGGTAAAATTGTACTCGACTAGACGATAATACCATCACAAATTATCAGAAAAAACAATGAACAACTGATGTCACTGACCGTGTTTTTGAACTATGTAAATACTCATCTATACGGTTTTATGAGTTCATCAGTGTCATTTCATAAAAATATATTTAGTAAATACTTTCTTACATCTGCAACTGTAGAATCCTTAGTTTAGAAGAAAATTTGTCTTAATATTAAGTTAAACATCTAAATGAACCTACTTGATTCACACTATCTACAAAAACAACAAGAATTTAAGACAAATGGAAGTTTTGTATAGAAACACAATTGAATGATATAACACAAGAACACCTATCAAGCAGAAAAAATAATTTATCGATATATGCTTTTAACATTTTCTTTACTGCCTACTACCTTCGGGATCGATTCCAATTAGGAAGCTGTGATCAATGCGATAATGTTGCTATTTACTGTGAAATTAATTCAGTTGCGCGATGATCTGTCAATGATCTTCGATATTATTCACCAAGTGTATGTTGCTTTGTTGAATATGTTTAAATATTTTAGAACTACCGTTAACCAATAATACTGAATTATTTAAATTTACTAAATGGTGTTTAACTCCAAATGTCTGTTGGATTTTAGTCTGAAAATTCCACAACAATGCTCATTTTATACATCGTACATAATTAACTGTGTAAAATGTCAAACATAGTAAAAACTACGACGAAAATGATACACTTACTTGTCTGGTACCTTTAGTTCTTTCTAATCGCATACCAAAACGTTCTGTTGTGTCATGACGTTGTAGAACAACTTTCCGATAGGAATCGTCTTGATCTGTGGAATCACTACGCTGAGCAGATAAATTACTTGAATAATGCGCGCTGGGTATTGTTGTTACTACTGTCATATCACTGCAATTATTGTTAATATTATAGTTTATCTGTTTAGTGAATTTTTGACTTTTGTCTAAAGCTTCATAAGCATATTTTGAATTCTGATTAATGCTTAATTGTTCATCGATTTTCGACAGTAATGAATAGTTAGAATCTAGACTATCATTATTATTACCAATGCTAATTAAGTGATTTTGATTAGACTTATTTAATATTGTCAAATCAGAGTAACTTGGTGGTGGTGTTTCGATGCGTTTAGCACTTTCAACATGAACTTCATTTAAATAATGTTTGGGATCGCGTTTGACTGAATTGTCTGGTTCCTGTGAACAAAAATAACAAAAACAATACTAACATTTGGAGTTAATGAAATACCTGAAAAATTAATTCTAAAAATCATGAAAATCGTCATAGTTTAGAACTGCTATCTATAAAAATGACCAAAACTCAAAAGAATATCTTAAAATTCCTTGATGGAGTTGCTTGTTGGTATAAAGATGATGCTCAAAACGTTTCCAATAAACTGGATTAAGCAGGGACGTATCACTCACTAAACTCTGACTTACGAGCTAATTAGCTACACATAACTTCTAATTAACTTCAAGATTATTTGATCCGATCAACTGAAAAAAAATGTCAAACGGCAACGATCGTTTTTGCTGATATTCAGATCAAAGTTAGTTTATATCAGACGTTATCAATTACTCCTGAAAATCTGCAAAAAAACTGGAGCACGTCAATAGTCTTTTCATTCACCCGGTAATTCTGGTAAACCTAAATACTCCTTCCAAGTCGAACCATTTATCGTTTAGGTTTAAAGTAGCCTGTCCATCAAATTGCATGCAATTTTGTCACTTTTTGAAAAGTTTCCAATGTACCAAAATCAAAACTGGAAATTAAATTTCAGTCTGGTTTTCATAGAATTTGTTTAGCGATTTAAAGTATATAAACATACAAAGCACTCAGCCTTATGGTGATTTTACAGACTACAAATAATAGTTTATCATAAAAATATTGTTTCGTAAATTTTTTGTTGATATATTTCTCTAGCTTAAAGGTTTTCATATTTTTTTTCGTTTGAAGTCAGTATTCCGGGCTCATAGGTTTGACTAATGTCCTCATCACATCTAAACAGTGTAAAAATAAGGACAGATGTTTGGGTGTGATACTGTTCTAAAATGTTCAATTTTCCGTGAACATTTATTCCAAATCAATGAGTACTAAAGAGTTTAAGAGAAGCTCAATTTATTTTATTTCTCACAATCCACATTTAAATTAGGTTCAAAACCAGCAGATTATGAAACACGAATATTCTATTCTCTGAATGATTTAACTCAATTTTATGTGACAAAGCTTTCCAAACATATTCAGTCGTAGTGACATAGTTGGCGTAACATTATTGACTTACGGTCAATAAATTATATTCGAAGATCTTTATGAACATTGAGTCCCAACAAATCTATCTGTAGACTGTTTTACAATGACCAAAAACTGAATTACTTAATCTCAAAGAAAAAAAACATTGAAAGTGTCCTTTAGTTTTAAAAACAAAAACTGACATTTCTGAAGAACATATAATTCACTGTATTTAGTTGGCTTATGTTCATCTACACACACCAATTCAGAATATCGTTCTACTTGATAATTAATATATAAATTGTTCATTCGAAGCCGGTAAACTATTTGAATAGTAAGTGTAGTGTAGTTTAGATCAAATAGTTTGAAAGCAGTTTCCATAAAAAGTTGGAATAATTAAATCTAATGCACACCATGATAGGCAGAAGTTGAATATATTATACTTTTTGGTGGAAAAGGCAATTTAAGGATAACTAATGACTTTCTGAAAGAAATTTCAGATTACAGCATCTAATGTTCATAACCATAGAAGACTTCAGTATGTTACGGTAATGAGGTGCACTCAATAATATCTACATGTCAAACAAATACGTTGTGTCCGCTCAAGTAGGCAATGACCAAAAGATTAACATAACCAACACATTCATAAAAAATCAGTGAATAATCTGTCATTCTATGACAGATTAATTAGTTTTTTTTAATTTCTTGGTATCTGAATGTATAGAATTAACTCAGCTTCAAGTTTGTATGTAAATGGAACGATGGAGTTGAAATATTTAAATATTTCATCAAATCTTCTGTAAACAATGTCATTCACGCTTTGTTTAAACCATGTACATTGAAGCCAGGTAAAGCTTCAAAAATGTTATGCAACTTAGTTTATTATTCGAATAAATTCAAAAACAGAACTTTTTTGAAAATAAATCATAACGTTAGTAGGCATGTGTTCTAAATTATTATCTCTTGTGTCCAAATGTGTTTTCATTTATAAAAAAGTGTTTTCGATCCACGTGAACTTATTATTTTTATAATTCATTATCTTCTACTAATCTGCAGATCAAGAAAAAGTGCTTGTACTAGGATAAATGCTACGTTCCTGAAATTGAAATTGAAATCTAAGTAGAATGTATCATACGACGGTTAACAGAACGGTGGAATTCTAGAAACTTCATAATACACTTTCGCTAGTTATATTCTGGGTTTGACAATTAGTAAAAAGGTAAAGGAATTAAATAACTAATCTTGTAATAACGATTAGTAAATCCAAGCTAAAGGCCTTTGAACGACTGGCACTAAAAACAGCATTTAAAACCTATTTATACTACAGTATTGTATCACAGACTACTATCTACATCACATACTTGGTCGATAAGATTGTATCAGTACATGAAACTGTGTGACGTTCAACTTATTGCGGCTTAGTGATTAGTTTTTGATTTCTGATCTCAATCAAGATTTGGAGAAGTGAGTTTGTGAATTTTCAATTTACTGATCAAATTTTCAAAATCTTTCTTCACCAAGTGATTAATGTTTAATCAATAAAGAAATTACAGCATAATATGAATTGATTTGTCGATAAACACCTTCATTTCTTCAATTTTCAGAACAATGTTTCAAAGCTAACCCACTATTTCACTCAGTATTCGTTCAATGTTGTTACGTCCTCTACTTGATCATGGCAGAATACAATATACAACTAATTGCACTTGAACGTGTAGAACCCAACAGTCTCAAATCAGAATCAGGGAAGGTGATTGTTGGGTAAGAAACAAAAATATGCAGAAAACATGGGTGTTTGGTTTTAGTATTGACTATAGCATCATTATAATTCAGCCAATCCACAAGGAGGCAATTTATGCTATCGCCCAATCGTAGCATGCTATGTTGCTATTTTAGAAGGCCCTATCAGGTTCTGACTAAATTGAATCTCTTCGGCTCCTTTAAAACCTTCGAAGGATTCGTCATGCTTTTTGAAGCCGTCCTAACATATTTCACTATAATTACGAGAGTTGCTAGGGCGATGTACTTTTGATGGTTGATTTGTACTCAACTATTCAACCTGCAAACGAAGAAATGGTGCTTATTTAGAGGATCCCATCGGTGCAATACCGGAAAACGTTAGCATCCAGTTTGAAAAACGATTGATTAAATACAACCATAGACAACCTAAATCGGCATAGAATGATGTATGGATAATAATTCTACGTTTTGAGGTAATATGTGTGATTTGAACTATATTCGTAGACCTTCAATAACTGTGACCTAGGAATCATATTTGGTAATAAAGTGGAAACTAGTCTAACGAATTAATTTCCTGATAGTTACATGATGGAAACGTGAGGGAATACTAAGATTTGTTTAAAGAAGACATTTGAATGATCACGTTTTCACGCTTTCAAAACGTAATTCCCATAAGTAGAAAGAGAATTATGATCATATATTTTACTACACTAATATAGAGAATTACCAGTCACGATGTCGTTGATAAGGAATTAACACGACTAAGAAAAATCCGTTTGCAGTGTAGATATCAGTCAAGATTTTTGGAAAGGCTATAGTATCTAGGCATCAAAAACAAGAATGTTTTATGCCAACATCGATTTCTAGGGTAAAGTAACCTCATTCATCTTAAAGTGGGTGATTTCAAACTATCAAACAATTTTCTTTGGATCAACTTTGAGATAAGTGTTCACCAGTGACCTTTGCGCTCTCACTGATTCTGTAAGTCCGTAATATCTAGATTTCTTTTTAAATCCATGTTCTTTATAGTTGCACTTCATGTTAGTTTAAAAATTTATTGTTATGCAGCACATCTTTACAACTATTGATCTTCTGACTTTCATAAGATTCTTGATGAACATTCGAGATCTTAAGTGACATGATTTAAGTCTCATAATGATAATAACATTATTTTGTTCTTTTGTCACCACGTTCTATAATTTTATTGTTATTTCAAAGAAGCATTTTATAAACTTTCATTATGAAAAAAAAATTATAAATTTATAACTGTACAACTCTAAGAATAAACTCAGTCAAAAGAGATTGGCTCACTGAACTAATCTTCCATGCATCGTAAATACTTATCGCAGTGAAAATGTTAGTCAGTCAATCAGTCAGCTACAAAGTAGGACCAGGCACATATATGCATCGGTCCAAGTTGCCATACCTCATTAACACAACAAGATGGACACCGGATTCATAAAAGTAGTTAATTCAGAGGTGGTAATATATAAAAGAAAGATTGCAATAAGGATATAGTACATGAAGAAAGAATTAGTTCGTAGAAAGAAAGATATGAAGCGATTTTAATCTCTTAGTTTAAGGGAAGACAGAGAGTGTATATATCGACGCCATTATGATCGATTTTGATCCATGTCAGCCAGAGTCTCCAACCATTGGTTACGATAGTCACGCAGACCCAACCAAGTAGTCTGCATCTGCCAACATGGCTCAGACCAGAAGTTAGTGACTTCAAGCACTGGTGCCACGTTTTGGTTTGGCCACCCCTAACTTTCTTCCAACCATCTCCAACACCGGTTAGTATTGCACGTCGTGGTAATCGGTGTTCAGGCATACGTAACACGTGGCCCAACCATCTCATAACTTCATCAAGTGACTTACCATCACTCCCCAATACCTTGCGTCCAGCCTCACTATTACTTACCCGATTATCCCAGCAGATGCCAGAAATATTTCTAAGGCATCTGTGGTCACATACTAGTAGCTTACAAGTATCTTCAACTATTAATGGCCACATTTCGCAGCTGTAAAGTAGAACAGAACAAACTGCTGCACAGTATATTTGTCCCTTAATTGATAGACGGATATTTTGCGTTTATCATAGGTGACACAAGTTGGTAAAAGCTAAACGAGCTTTTCGAATCCGTGGTGAGATTTCGTCAGACATCGACCCATTAGGGCTGATCAGACTTCCAAGATAAGCGAAGTTGTCAACAGTGAAAATGTAATGTTATTCAGACATTATATTACTTAAAAAGGTCTAAATAGAACTAATTTTGAATGATAACTTTATTCAAGGTGAAGAAATGTTTTTTTTTGTCAAGTGGAGGCACAAACATTTTATATTTTAACTTTAAATGTGATGCTGAACATGTTTGTCAGTATGATATATCACAATGAAAAAATATTGTCTTTTTTCAGAAGTTAAACACTATGGAGTAACGGTCATTTTTTTCTAGATTCATGATGTTGTACAAAATGCATGTAAACTTAGGTAATGTTTCTATTAATTATGATGGGCTAAGATAATGTTTTCAACTCTTGACTGAAATTAGTACAAACTCCAATATCAGCCAGTATTATCACTTTACTTCCTGTGTATGTTGAGATTCTATCTTTCCTACTAAACACGTAAACTTACTTGATATGATATAGGTTGGTTGACATTGATCTTTTTCATTATATAAACGAGAACATAGATAACTTAATAACGACATTTACTTTAAACAATTCATTAAGATATGTAGTTATTTAAAAATTATGTAGTTTGGAGATAAGTTGGTAAACTATTGAATTAGACAGAATGACTCACGGTTGTCCTAACAAATTAAACTTCACCTTTGTTGTAACAACATTCTATGGAAATTATTACTCTCCAATCAACAGATTTCTAAAGCGCATTATATTGTGATAATTTCAGTAAGTGATTGATTTCTTTTGACTAACTTACAATGAATTTCGGCGAAACCTAGTGACTAATAAGTTTGCTTACTGAACACTCCTACTAAAAAAGGTCTAAATTCGAAGTGAAGTAGTTTATATGCAGTGATCAAACTCTACACAAACGCCAACATATTAATTTGGGACTTCAAAAGGTTTAAATATAGTTCAAATTTATTTGATTCAATAAGGAAATGTCTCTGCAGGGTTTGTAGGAACATTTATGTAATTAAGTTATTTTTGAAAATTATGTAGACGTTTGAAGGACAAAAGACATAATCATCCAATATGTCACGCTTCACATATCAACCAGACATTATCAGTGAAATTTCCTTCTTCATACTTCTTTTGGTTGTCAGCAAAATTAATGTTCTCATTTCATAAACGTACATTAAATACATTTTTTAGATACTTCCCATACACAGACATACATATTATTGGACCTGTTTACTTTTATCATTAAACTATAGTAATAAAACAACAAATGATAAACCACAAAAAACAAAACTTACATTTTTCCCGTTTACAAAATGATCATTATCCAATAGTGCTTTGCCTTTGTTATTATTATTATTATTATTAACATGACCAGCGCTTTTGTCATCTAAATTATCAACATCTAATTTCTTATTAATCGATTTGAATTGTTGAATATTTAATTCTAACTGTGATAATGGTAAATTATTTAGATTATTACTATCTTTATTATTATTATTATAGGTTTTTTGACAATATGATTTATTTCGCTTAATCAGTAGGTTTCCATTTAAATGATTTTTCACATTCGATATTAACAATGAATTAGATGATGATATAGTTGTTTCTTTAACTGGATTTAATTGAAATATTTGCTTCTTTTTTAAATATGGTGAAGTAATTCTTTCTGAATTGAAAATAGTGTGAAATAAATGCGTCGGTGTAGTATGTTCTTTTTTCATAAATATTGGAGAACATGGAGCAGATTGTGTTGTGCATAAGTGATCATTTTTAATACGATTGATTGGTAAATTGAGAATAATTTTATTAAATGCACTAGAATTTTCATGATTTTTATTATTAATACGGATTGAGGTTGACAATCTGTTTGTAGGTTTCTATAGTTAAAATAGAATTTTAAAAAAAAAGAATGACTGTTACTGAGAAATTTTGAAACCCAGGATTTTAAGCAGTTTTTATGCTTAAGTTTAAATACATCCACTCGTTCACATAACTGCACTTGAAATAATTTTGTTTTTTCTTTGAAGAGAAATTTTTATGTAGGAAATAGGCTTAAAATCCTAATAACATTCTTTTGTTGTCTTCCTCAAAATCTACCAACGGTCATTAGAAAAGTACAGTAAACTACATTAAAATAGAAAGTTAGACTTTAGCATTACGGTTTTTATTCGCAGAACTGTGTTTTTTACCAATAGAATACATCTAACTTGCTAACTGGTTACTTCAAACATTCACTGATTTCGTTAGTACAATTCAAAGTTTTTTAACTTCCAAAAATACAACTATAAATCAGGTTAAAAAAACTTTTTTATGGAATCTAACAGTTTAATTTGACGATGAATGACGCTGAATTAATTAACACAAAGAATTCAATCTATCTGTGTTTAGCTGTTTCAGCACTTAACTCGAAATTTCATCGTAAAAAAATGGATTTCCTGAAGACTAATTCCGACCACCTGTCATCAAAACACATCGAACGCGATGTTCTGTCACTCAAACTAGAAGAAACTCTGCAATCTGGTCGATACCATTCGTTCATCGCAGAAAATTAGAAAAAAAAATTTCGTCACTACTCAAAAGCACTTTGATGTAAGAGTTAAATACTGGCTACTAAATGAATTCGCCACACTTTTTCCATACTTACATAACCAAAACTGATTCTGCATTGAATATCGTTAGGTTTCCAAGTGCAAATAAACTCTAGTTCAATAATACAGAGCAATGTCAATCATTATATAAGTTCATTTAAATTCATTTATATTATTATTGGCAGGACAACTAAATCAAAACATGGATAAAATTATTTTATTTTCGACTGTATATAGTGGATATTCTTTTTTATTGTTGGTGTAAAATAAATATTCCATTATTTTACTGGGGTCGTTCTTCTGTGTTTGACTTTGTTGAGCAAAATATGTTTTTTCAACAGTTGAAACACTGGATACTATACACGTCTACAATCTATCTGCTGTTCAATGAGAACAATGAAAAAAAGACGAGTATAATATACTATATCATTGCATTACCCTCTCAAAAATGAGGACCACTTCATGAAATAAATTCAAAATAATATGATTTTATCATATAGTGGTATATAACATATTTCATTAATTGATCCAAACGAAAATATTTCCATCTTATCAACTTCAATAATGTACACTTTTGAACAAGGATGAAAATGTTTACCATCACAAGACATTTGGATTTCATGTTCCTCTGTAATCTTTGGTAGTCGAATTGTTTTCGATTAATAAGTAATTGATATCAATACTTTGAATTGTGTGTCTAATTAGCATCCGTTAGTCAGAAGTTTATTCTTTTTTTTTCAAAAACGTATCCATCAGAATGTTGTTATGTGATTGACCAATTCGATCAATTCATCCTATTGTTCACTAAATAACGGTCATTTAGGTATTTATTTTTAATAACCATTAGTCACATTATAAATAAAAATTCAATGAAGACTTTCAAATTATCACAATGTTTGCATGAATAAATAATAGTCTTATTGAGATTTCAGCATAGTATTAGACAATATCATGTTAGCTTATTAAAATGCTCCTTGTTGTGATCTAGATGCTTTAAATAGCATCTTATATTTTATGAAGCAATTGACTGAATCTCAACTGTGGAACGTGAGTGGCAAAATCTTACACTAGTATTTGACAAAAACGATATATGTGATGATTTTATTTATGATTCAGGGAAGTTTACCAAATACATCGACAGAATAATATTTATGTAAATCAGAACGAAGTCGTATGATTGGACAGTTAGTTTCATCGTGATCTTTAGTGGCTGGTACTATGTTAAGCTTATATAGGCTATTCTAGATTCTCGACAGACCAATTTATTTATTAATTTCAAGGAGCATTTTGACTTTATCACTTATTCGCTTAGTAATCCTGACTGCGACCGAGGTGGCTCATTCGATATCTCCTCTAAATGTCACTCCGTTTGATTTCGCTTCCTTTGCTTCGTTTCTGTGATTGTCTGCCTGGAACGGTAGGTGTGCGAAATATACGTATTCGAAATTTATTCTCTTATTTGGCTTATTTCATTTCAATATACTTTAACTTGAATTAAGTCGACAAAAATATACGAAGGTTGGCAGGATTCATGTTTCAATAACAATAAGTATACGATCTAACTGAAATCAGATATAAGGCCACAAAATATTTTAAATGTAAGAAATGCCAATTAGGATCACTGTTATATGGCTCATCAATATTCGTTACTGTCATAATTGCAATAATAATAATAAAAGTAGTAATAATAATCTTGCCTGATAATCAGCAGTCCTATCTAACTGAAGTGAGACCGACGGATACTACTGAGAATGTATGAGTAATGTCAGGGTCTGACAATTGTTTACTAGTAGAAATGAGTTTACTTCAGTGTCTGTGACACAAAGTTATATGACAAATCACCGCCTAAGCAAACTTTACAACTAATATACCTTTTATTATTTTTTTCATTCACCAGATGATAATCAGTGTCATTAACGTTTTATTTTCAAAGTTTCTAATAAAAAAATTGTCTCAATCTGTCAAAATTTCTTACTGATAAAATAAGTATTATACTGAACTGTTTATGAGAAAACAAAAATTGCCATGAATCGGACTCCAAATTTTTGGAACCGTGTCTTGGTAATTTCTAAATAATAAATCAATTGTAAATGTTGCTTGTTAACTGTTGATACAGTAATCTGCTAACAACATGGTAACAATTTAAACAAGACTGTACTTTAGTTTGCGAACAAAATATTATTTCAAGAATAACGAGTGTAGTTCTACATACATTTTTAAGAGGATTCTCTCCTGACGATGTGCAGTAGTATGTAAAGCATTAATGAAAAGTATATCATAAATTTAACATGTTACTAAAATAAATGATATAATTCATAAGTGATCTTCACCAATTATTATTGTTGACTAATTTCACATTTGACTATTATAGTGATGCAATTTTATTGTTAGTTATGTATTAATGAATGTTAATTCGCTTAGAAGCTTTTGTTTTAAATAGCTACGTTATCCATTTCAAATAAAATACATATTGAATAAAAGAGGATGTCGAATTTAAACTGAATATGACGCCCGACGAAAAGTCCATTTGTGGAGGATTATATCTCTAGTGTAAATATTACACTTTCAAAGTCATAATTCAAATGTTATTAAATTATTACATGTATAATTCTACAACCACCGTATATAAGGAATTATTCAGAGTTGAATTTTGTATTTTCACTGTATTTGAAAATTATAAAGTCAGTTAGTGTACTATTCGTTTCAAAAGCGTCTATATTACTTAAAACATCCTAGTTTGTAAATTCATTTTCCTTTTAAACTAAAATCTTGAGATGATGGAGAAGGTTTGTAGCTCAGGTGAATGAGTAAGTATTCCTCACTATCATAAAAAACATTATTTTTACATCTTCCCTATGAACATTTTTAATTTTAGCTTCTTATGTTGATCTGTTATTGCAACATGGATTGATGAACGATTTTACCAGGTCCTACGCCATTTTTAACTATAAATCATTCAAAAATCAAAATCACGATAAATTAAGTAGTTTGAGCAACAAAAGAACTTAACAAATTCGTAAGTTTAATTCAACATATTCGCTGTTGTTATCTTGTCTACTATTTGGAATAAACTACCATTTTCACCTATTTTTAGTGTGCGCATACATCCAATTATGTTTGATGTTAGTAAAACACCAAAGTACTACTGTTCTAGCGTTAATCCTATGAGAAAGTGATTTTTCATGCCTGATGTATTTTGGTATCTATCCTTTCTTAATATAGCTTTAGAATAGTTTTAGAATATTATATGGTTCGATCGGTTTTCAACCTATGTCAATGTCATATGTTTAAACTATTTCATCTCATTAACAGACACTTGAAATATAAATTCTAGCCTCATAAATGGAGGTCAATACTTTAGTTTATACAAATTGTGGAAATTAGATGACATTGGATCCTTTTCGGCTACATTTAAATTTATCAAAAATGAACTGGTTATCGGATAACTCTATTCATATGTATTTATGATCCCTTTTGAAATCTATGGAACAGATTTTTGGAATAAATCACTTTGTGAGCATAAGAATAATGACTTAATGAATGCAAAAATCGATATTCTATTAAATGATAAAACAAATTTTAACTCATTTTTTAGAACCATATTGTACAATACTGTATACTAAAGCATAGTGAGCATAACGAACATGTGAGAAAAATATCCTCAAATACACTCTCTAATACATAATTATGTGTACACTGAACTGTAATTACATATTATATCAAGTAAACCATGTTAATGAAAATGGTCATCAGTTATAAAAGTTGAAGTTCTTAAAACTAGATGTTTGTATAAATATTAGTCAAGATACTAATAACAGAATATTTTGTCTTTATTTATAATAAATTAATGACTTTGTTTATTTTAAAAAAGAATTTTGAATGATCGAAAATAAAATTTATTCCACGGTAATACCATTATTATTGAATTTATATAAAAGATAGTACTGAGGTAATCAAATAATGAACATCATATCTATTCAAACTTGTTTTGAACAATAAATGCATTAGTTGTTTGTTGCATTTTTTCAAAAAAAAGAAAGAAATTAATGATGAACTATGAAAGAATAAAATCAACTCTAAAGTAACACTGTCCACTATCGATCAATAAACATGTTAAAATAATACACAAATAGGGAACAGTGTTTTTTGTATCTTTATGAACATGATAAATCATAAATAGAGTACCCCCTTATTATGGTACAAAAAGGTACATTGATAATTTTATGTGAATGGTATTATGTAAATGACATGTAACTGAAGTAAATGTATATGCTTCCAAAGTTTTCCCC